TTGTATCTTTTTGTATTCATACACTTTAAGTATAAGTACTGTATCAAACGGTGGATGTTTGATTACTGAAATGAACTGTATTCATTGTGGATTTAACTACTCTAAATACAGAAATAAAGTTGTGAAATGAACTGTATTCATTGTGGATTTAACTACTCTAAATAAAGAAATAAAGTTGTGAAATGAACTGTATTCATTGTGGATTTAACTACTCTAAATAAAGTTGTGAAATGAACTGTATTTATTGTGGATTTAACTACTCTAAATAAAGCTTTGAAATGAACTGTATTCATTGTGGATTTAACTACTCTAAATAAAGTTGTGAAATGAACCAGCAGTTTATCGTCTGTCTTTAAAGAACGAAAAACTCACAATAACAACTAGTTGTCACTAAAACAACAAATTGTTACATAATTCAATAACACGTAAGGTGTACCTTGTAGCGCCATTAATTAATACTTTATTATAATTTCCAATTGTATATAAACATATCAAATGGGTGATACATATATATATATATATATATATATATATATATATATATATATATATATATATATATATATATATATATATATATATATATATATATATATATATATATATATATATGTTACGGTCAAAGCCCGAAGTGCGGCCAAACCCCGGATTGGCCGGCCAATGCGCGGATTGGCCGGCTCTCTTGGCCAAAGCCCGAAGAACTTAGAACTAAGATCGTATTTCGTACATTGGCCGGCCAATGCGCGCACTGGCCGGGACGTACTGGCCAAAGTCCGAAGTACTTAAACTTGACAGCGTATTTTGTACATTGGCCGGCCAATGCGCGCATTGGCCGTGATGTCCTGGCCAATGTTGTATCTAGACTAAGTTGTGATCGCGTTTTAATTATTCTGGGTGCGGTTTCATTGTGAGTAACGTATTGTTTAGCTCTTGTTTGTATAGCATTCTATATGCAAGGCGACATGGGCCGTCAGACCAGGAGACAGACATAGCAGATGGCTGTCAAAAGAAAAAAAATGTAAATCCATGTTAGTTTAATATATGGGCTACAACTGTATGTGACAGCCTCCTCCATGATGACGAGGTGAGACAATCATCAAAGAACAAAAGACAGTCGGCGTCACCGACCACGTGCAACAAGACGGAACGTTCAAAAGACTTTTCCGCGTTCCTAGATGTTCAAAACATGATGATGACATGGATGCAAACAAATGAATCAGCTCATTGGGCTGAGAGTCTCAAATTCATTCAATTTATGAAAAATCGTTCTTTTCATCAAGGAATCCAACAATCACCATACGAAGCCTTGTTTGGATGCAAAGCAAAAGTGGGACTTAGCAATTCAAATCTACTAAGAGAGGCTCTCAATAAAATAGCTACTGAGGAAGATCTTGAGAACATTGAACAAGAAATGGAGGTTGCCATAAATGCAACTACATCCTCAGCTCACACATCTACTGCCGTGGCGGAACGTCCAGACCAGTTGCGTGACAATAATGTGGCCAACAGATTCTGTATAGTTTGTGAAAAACATTGTAGTGCAGCATATTCTTGTGGATCCTGTGGCAAAGATGTCCATGCTATTTGTGGAATACCCAATGAAGCAGACGAAGGGTACGGAGGGAACATTACCTGCAGATTGTGTCACAACAAACAAGACATCATGGAACACAGGTCAGCAGCTCATAATGGCTTGCAAAATCAAGGTGCTAAGATGCTTAAAACATCAAATACAAAATTTAAAGATGGTGAAGTGGGTGACAATGTACGCATCCGTGTTCCAGATGTTGACAGAGGTCGCGGTGATCCCCGAAGCGTGATTGCAGTTGTCATGAGCGTCGAGGGCGGTTTCTACAAATTAGGAACCGAACATGGTGTTCTAAAACAACTGTATGCTAGAAGTGAGTTTTCAATTCTTCACGAAAAACTGCTCTTATTGTCGTCAGTTGGCACTGAGGAAAAATCACTACGAACCATCGCATCTTCATCGCATCTTCACAATCATTGACTGGGGGCCAAGGCTACACTCGCTGCAATTGCACAACCAAGTGTGCAACAAATCGCTGCCATAAAAGTTCAACTTGTTGTAACAAATGATAATATTGATTGATTGAGACTATAGTACAATACAAAAACTGAATGTTTCTGTCATTTACTTTAATTAATAATCAATAAAGACTTAATTTCATGATCCTACCGGCATAAAAAAAAACCAAAATCTGCTCATGATCTTCTAATTAAGACTTTGGCCGGTCCACCATGGCCAGTCCGCGGACTGGCCGGCCAAAGGCCGAAATCAAGAGCTATTTCAGACTTTGGCCGGTCCACAATGGCCAGTCTGCGGATTGGCCGGCCAAAGGCCGAAATGAAGCAAAGTTTCGGACTTTGGCCGACCTATGGGAGGCGATATTGGCCAATGCGCGGATTGGCCGGCCAATCCTAGCATTGGCCGACTTCGGGCTTTGACCGTAACATATATATATATATATATATATAAAACAAAACAACTAAGATTTAAAATTAATTTAATTTTTAACACACGCGATAATTACGGTTTCATCTGTACTATCTTTATTTTATGTAAGGAGTCTACATTTTATTACGTTTAAAAAAAGGCAAAATAAAATGGTTAATGTAAAATGTCAAAGCAACAGTAAACTGTTTCGATATTCCTTACATGTTGTTACGCTTATTTCTTTTAAAGTTTATGACATTAGTAGACTACTATACTATAACAGACCACAGTGAGAGATACACATAACCTGTCATAAGGATCTACGATTTTGATATAATACTTATATGGATGAAGGGTCCCACTTATATTTTTTGCATAGGGGCCCACAAATCCTAGCTACGCCACGGGGCGTATGCAGTGCATAATTTACCTATAAACTGTTCATGAGATAATTGTAGCAGTCATAATTACTCAGTCACATCATGGTTTACCTTTCAAATCGGACAGTGAACCAATTTGTTCTAATCTTCTAATGACTTTTTTAAGCTTAAAATATATATTACTATTGCCATTTCTTATTTCGAAGAAAATGTGAAGGGAGATAAGTCAATAAAGCAAACAAAGCTATTTATTTTATTAAATTTAAAAATTATAAATTTTAAATTTTAAAAAAATAGCGAAATACAAATAAATTTAAAAACAGTGACTTGAATGTATGCTTTTTTTAAAGACAAGTGATAAATTCTGATTTATTTTGTTGTACATGTTATATAGTGGTCGATTATGAAATACATTTTAACGTTAGTACATTTATTAAACACTAGTTATAAAACAATAACCCCCATTGACCTGTCACGTGTGATGGTCAGCTGACCAAGCTCTAAGAGATGGTCAGTCTGATCTGAAAGATAAACATTATATAACTTAGTAATTATGACTTCCACATCTTATCAAAAGTACTTTCGTATTGTATTTATCTGACGATTTGAATAACTATTCAATAGTGGCACTTTAAAAACTGGGAATTTTGTAAATTGTAGCTTTTGGCTCTTCCGTCGCAAGAGGTTGCCGACCCCTGCCCTAGTGGGGTTATTGGCTGAGAAAAAGTATCATAGCTTATATGAATATATTATCGTTTAGTTTTTTTTTTTTTTTATATATTTTAAGTGTTTAATGTTTAACACAAAAAATAGTTTTGTCATTATCAATGCATAATCTTAAATAAAGACAACATTCAATAACAAATAAAGATGATAATAACATTATGAATGATTGAGCTAAAAGTTACTATGCTAATGTGAAGAATAAATTAGGATGTCCTTATTGTAAGGAATTATAAGACTATTCAAAGTAAAAGTATTTTTAAACCAGTACTTAAAACAAATTTAAATTAATTTTTTTAATGGCTCATTGGGGAAGAAGAGAGAAAAGCAGTCACTTAAACACCATCACCTAACAAATAAAAGTATACAATATATATAAATGACATTCAATGCACAGAAGCAAATTTTTCAAGTCAATAACATGAGATTATGTGGAGTCTGTCTCACTCTCCAGTGTAACACATTAAATATACCTGGCCTATTGTAATAGTAATAGGAGAAAAATATTATGCAGATATAAAAATCAGTTGTTATCACAGAAATAAAAATCTTAACACCTACCTACAACACACTAACAATAACAATTTACTTTTTAGTAGGCTAAATGTTTTTTTTATAATCATTCATATTTTATGCTTTCAGTGTAACTGTAAGTGAAATTGTATCAACCTTATTTAACTTCTGTAAATAAATGTAAACAATAAGACTTTACTTGCTTGTAACATTGAAACATTAGTTATTTTTTAAATGTATTTTATTTTTTGGTACCACTGAAAATGTGACATTCTGGCTGATTAAAAAAAAACGTTATTCTAAAATATAATAATTATTTCTTCTTACATGTACTTTCTATTCAAGAAAAATCTCTATAAAATGACTAAAATACATTTTAGGTCAAGCTTTGAATGACACGGTTTTGTTTCAGTGTTTCTTGACGACCAGCCAGTTGGCTCTCCACTTTGTCAGCAAGTCCTGGGTTGGTAAAATATTCTGCAGCAAATTCTCTAATGCTTTCTGGTCGCTTTGTGAGGACATCACTTTAAACTCCAGCAATCAAACACTCTACTTCAGGGTGATCTCTTAAATATTTTTCATTGCCAATTCTTGTTTTCACCTTAAATTGATTAAGGTCCGCTAGCTGAGCATGACTTAAGCCACCAAGATCATCATGTCCACCTAAATCATGTTTTTCCATCCCATGGGGAGGTCCATGTTTAGGCTGGTTGGACATTTTGAGAAAATTGTTAATTTTTTTTTTTTTTTTGCAGTTTCAGAAATTTATTTTCCCATAGTTATTTCTTGATAACACTACTTACACATGCAAATTTTAACATCAATTTTTTACATCTCGTAACAAAATATTAAGCAGTATGTGCAGTGCGACATAATAATATCTTATTGAAATAGTGAAACAGTATGAAGAATATTTTTTTTATGGCTACCACAATATTGATAAAATTTACAGAATGTACATTTATTTTAGACAAAAATACATGCGATTCTATGAACCTTTAAGTAGTTTAAAGACTATTGTTATTAGAATGACAAGCTTGGTTGATAACTTACTAATTAGATAGAGTGCAGGTTTGTGAGTTTATTGTGTGCTGGGTTTTGACCAGGTTGAAATATATAGTTTTGGTTAAACTACTGAAACACAAGGAAAGAAATACAAATGTATGTCTTTTACATAAAGTTTATATCACTGGCTTTATCAAGCTCTATCTAACCTGTAGAAATACAGAATACACAAAAAAAATCTACATTATTTTCTAATATTGTGCAGCTTCAAAAACCTGAGTGTATTTGAATATTATTATTAGCCTGATTCTTTCATCAACTTATCTTCCAAGGTAGGTTTTCCAGGTGACTGATCCATGCTGTAAGGGTAGTTTGTGTTGGGGGCTTGACATCTTTAACTGTAATTTCATTGCTGGGGCCCATAATGCTTTCCAATGTAATATCACCCTCAGCAGGGTATTGTGGGGGAACAGTTAGTGTACACACAACACTGCAGCTATTCTTCACCATCAGATAGAGAAGATTTTTCTCAGGTATCCAGTCAATTGCATGCTTTTTTCTCAACTGCTGAATCTCAGTGATTAATGGAACCTGAGACGACCAAAGAGTTTTCAGCTCCAAAATAAGTTTATGAACGTCTTTGTCAGCCAGAGCAGCTTCAATGATGGATTCTGACCCACAGATCACTTGGTTAGTCTTGGCGTTGGTCAGCTGAAGAAAACCTAGGTGATCCTCACACACCTCCAACAAGACAATCAGTCGTGATTTGTCACTTGAAGATTCCTCCTCAATTTTCTCAAGTGGGGACAGAAATTCCACCTGCACATTCTTCTCATCTTTAACCTGGCAGCGAATACCTGATAAGTTTACAACATCTTCCAGTCTTGCTTGTATTTTAGTTAAACATGAATTCCACGTTGCCTCTTCCTTTTTTGTTTCAATAATTTCACGTCGTTGACGCTGCAAGTTATTTTCTATTCTACCGAGCCTGTCTTGCAGTAAATCATGTTGTCTGGTCACAGACTGTAGGAGCAGCTTAACCTTTTCAGCGTCTGTTTTAACATCATCGCTGAGGGTCTGAATGTTTACAGCACTTACTAAAGATGGATTTTTCTCTCTCATTTTAACATACTTTTTTTCCAACTGACATTTCTTTTCAGACAATAAGGTCAGCTTTTCTTTCAGTGTATCAATCGCTTATGTTGCCAGTTTAGCAGTTGCTTCCAATTCACTTTTTCTCTTGTTATACAGTGATACAGCTTTATTCAAAGGCTCATCTAATTCAGGCATTTGAAAGTTGTTGACCAGTGTTCCATTGGTTTGTTAACTTCAGACATTAAAAACAAGGATGCTAAAAGTTCTAAATACTTTGATTTCATTTCTGTCTTTTTCTTTTTGGCATCATGCAGAGCTGTGGCCAGTCAGACTGACTTGGTAAACCATAATACTTGGAGCATTTGTTAGTAGCCTCAGCATACAGCTTCTCAGCTTCGCTTAAAATCTCTGATTCCATTTTAAATTCCCCGCATCAGCCAAAACAGTCCAGATTTTTTTTTATTCATTAAACATTATTGACAATCGGACAACTAGAGTCACCCAGTATTGATTGGACTGGTTGAATCTCAATTATTAAAAACAATATGCATTCAAGTTAAAGTTTTATTAATTATATAACCTAATACGTTTTTATATAAAATTTAGCTTTTTTGCTTAATTTTTTAATATTTTCTAAAACTTAATAACTGTACATATTTATTTTATTAGTAATATGCCTATTTCTGAAGAATATGTTATTAAAGTTTTTATAATAGATAGCTCTATTAGTTTGATTGATTGGTCTCCCTTTACCTTTTCTATGTAATAAGAAATGGCTATTGTAATATGTATTTTAAGTTAAAAAAAAGGCCATTTAGTTTTTGACAGTATCTAAACTGTTTGAGAACTCTCATCAATACAGAATAAAATTTTTAATTTCCAGATAAAACAGTTTGTAATATTTATAACGTTAAATGCGTATTATTTTTTGTTTGTTTTTGTTTCACTGTGAAACACACTGCAACGCCAATTTTAAGGAGTTTATCGTATTCGGGGCATGTCTTACGACACTAAGAAAACGGGGTTTGTTCAAGTCCATTGAGAACAAAATGAGCTCAGGTTAAGCTGCAACTTTTTTTTTTTGTTTTTTGCTGAGCTCAAAAGGGGAGCAACGATTATGACGGAAGTAAATTAAGAGACAATTAAACCAAAATTGTTTTGGAAAAGTCTATGGTTATACATCAAACGTCACATATGTACAGTATTTGTGAATGGTATTACGCTGTTTTTATATTTAAGCACAGCTGTAATGGCTAGACCTCGTTAAAACTACAAACATTGCATAATTGTATTGTTAACTTTAACATATAAGTTTATGCATACACATTTAAGTATTATAACACTTTTATCAAAATAGAATACAAATAGATATGGCTAACTATTTTTCATGTTTCAGCAATGGACTTTATAATTATACAAAACAAACAGCAAGTTGACCGACCTGATGGTGACGATGTAACAGATGTAACATCAACATTTACTAAATGAACCTCTACTAGACGGTTTACCTTCCAGTATATCACACGATCCTGACAACGTTTATGTTAGACCCTTGCCAGACATATGCTGGGACCGGTAGAGACACAGTTCTAGTAATCCGGTGAAATAGCCATTAAGATTAGAACACAATGGTTAATTATCTGATTGGTAAGGTAAACCATGATATGACTGAGTAATTATGACTGTCGCGATAGTTTGTACGTTAACCATGCACTTCATACATCATTACTTTGAACCCGTTCACTAATTATTTAACAACAGTGCCGCAAAGGTTTCTATCATAGCCCTAACCTGGTTTAAATATTGGGGTGTCGGCGCCCCACGTACATGTGTGGTTGAGCGCCCAAAGTTTTCTATCATATCCCTAACATGGTTTAAATATTGGGGTGTCGGCGCCCCACGTACATGTATGGTTGAGCCCCCAAAGTTTTCTATCGTAGCCCTAACATGGTTTAAATATTGGGGGGTCGGCGCCCCTTGTACATGTGTGGTTGAGCGCCCAAAGTTTTCTATCGTAGCCCTAACATGGTTTAAATATTGGGGTGTCGGCGCCCCACGTACATGTGTGGTTGAGCGCCCAAAGTTTCCCAGTGCCTGTCTTAGCACACGGGGTCCGCCTATTGGATGACCTGCACAGCGGGATCAGTCGCGATACAATAGGGTTCTCCTCCGGCGCCCCGGGCTCCCATATGAGCACTATGGCCCCTACATTCGTTTAAAAGGTGTGCTCTTCTTCACCATTGATGAGGGTAGTCAGAGTGAACTAAATATTTATTTACTGCACATTTTGATGCGTCTCGGTGGTAGTGTGGACAAACTAGCGACCTAGTAACTACCATAACCAAAGAAATACAGAGCAGACACAATTAACTAAATGAGATCTGAAAAACAGGATTAACATGATTGGTGAGCTGACATATATGGATCAGTTAGCATTCAGACGAATAATTGCATAATCGTATTTACAAGAGAAAAGTACAAAAAGTCGTCAACAGTTCCTACAGTGGATTAAAACAAATTATGGTCATAATCCAGAGCAAATTGAAAACCAATTGCGTTGTGTTTTTTGCCATAGTTGGATCCGCTGGCGATGTGAAAAATGCAAAAAAACCACTTTGTGTTGAACGACCTTGTTTTGGACAATTTCACTGCTAATCTGCCCAGTGTAACCAGCTGAGTACACCCCTTTACCTTTTTGGCTATGTGAGTTTCTCTGTATTTTTGTAATAAATGTGGTAATCTACCCAATATGCCTTGATAAATACAATTAAATGTAATTTGTATATGTTGTTTTATGTTGGGCTTTAATGGGTTAATCAGCTTTTGATACAACATAGTGTGTATGCTTACAGCTGTTGTTATAACAAAACTTGTCGTTGTTGCATGAAACAGATGATTTTAGATACTGATGTCCGATAATAAAATAGGTTTGTTGGGTTGTTAGTAGTATTATAATCTCGACTAATTTTATGGTTAGAAATTAGGGTTAGGCGTATGGTATGACTAGGGTTGGTGTTAGGGACAGGGTTAGCATTGACATTAGCCAGCCATGTGTGTATTTAGTTAACTACCAGTAACCTAACACCCCTTTTTAAAGAAGATTTTATTATCGGACACTGGTATAAATATTCCCCCATGGCACTATGTTCGCATCAACTACAACATATGTATTCGGCTTTCTATAACTCGGACGACACGCTTTGTGTATATTTAACTTCAATCTGTCAGAATATGTTACTCTTAAAACAACATTAATAATAGATGTAGACTGGCTGATCTTCACATTTCAGCAACAGTAACGTATAATTATATAAGTAGATGTAATGTAATGTAAGATAGTTTTGTATAGAATTATATGTTTACTTAATTTCTAAAAAATAACAAAATAGCAAGCTGGCCGACTTGAAGGTGACGATGTAACAGATGTAACATCAACATTCACTAAATGAACCTCTAGTGTACGGTTTAACTACCAGCATATCACACGATCCTGACAACGTCTATGTTAGACCCTTGCTTTCCTAGATATGATTAATAATCATATCTGTACATTGTACAGGTTAATATTTTCTCTCAAAAATAATTGTTTCCAAGCGCTATCAGTATAGAGTGAACGTCATAGAATGTCATGTTTTGCACTTTATAGAAACATGTATGCACACATATCACTGTTTTAAAATATAATATTATATACTTTTTAAATTTGAAATAAGCATGCTGCTTCATGATCTTCGCGTTTTAAAAGATAAAAAATAGGTTACTTATATTTATCCCGTATTTTCCTAAAACGTTTTAATTCTTTATTATGACGAATTAGATGGCGATTATTTTGCACGTTCGTTAATGTTGTTTCCCTTGTATAGTTTAAGTTAAACGTGATATTAAAAAAAAAAAAAGCCCCAAAATGACTCAACAATTGACTGCCAACAAGCAGAGCAGATACATAACAAACAGCAAATAATTTTCTTTTCAGCCAAAAGAGAGAATTAGGAATAGACGTTACTGATTTTTTTTATGTTATTTCTTTTTAAACAGATTGACTAGTTAAGAATAAGCCGTGTGTGATTAAAGAACCGTAAAAACGGATTAAAATTGATCAGCTGACTGTGTTTGTGAGGTATGTTTCGCACAACTACCTTTACAATGTGGAAAAAAAGTTTTAATGAGTGCTTGATAATATTGCTGCCAGTGCAGTGCCAGTGCCACTATTCTCTACATGATGGCTAATGCTTTTAATACAATTTAATTTATTATCAGCATCTGACAGTCATAAACTCAAAGATCAAAACTTGTCGATTAAAAACGCGAATTAACTAACAACTGTGGTTTAAACTGTATAATGAACCATTTTGGTGCATCGATTTACTTCAGTCAAATAAATGAAGAGACTCAATTAAATTATGGGTTTTCATTAACTTTTTCTCTCTCTGTCTAATGTAGACAACATATTACATGTAGATTGAAGGCAACATGGTATGTGTCTAATGTAGACAACATATTATATGTAGATTGAAGACAACATGTTATGCATTTTAATCCCAACAAGTCACACTGGTGAACATAATTGTATTCCCCATTACAACTGTCCCTTATGTTAATTGTTCATTTATCAAAATGGACTTTTTAAAAAAAAAATTCAATTATAATGTATTTCACGGGCATTTAAACAAATGATAAGTGACCAAATTATTTATTTCCTTGACAAAGTATCAAAACTTACAATCATAATTGACTATTATTTATGCAATACTTGCTCAATAATTATTTGAGAATACCATAAGTAGTTGTTTGTACCAAGCGTTCCATCAAGCCAATATCTTTTCCAAACAACTCAAGGCGAGTCTGCATGCCGGAAATATGTTTGCGATCCTTTAGGCTGTACCCATGTCATGTGACATTTCTGTTCTATTTCATCAAGTGTAGACAACAGGTTATGTGTCGAGTGTAGACAACAGGTTATGTGTCGAGTGTAGACAACATGTTATGTGTCGAGTGTAGACAACAGGTTATGTGTCGAGTGTAGACAACAGGTTATGTGTCGAGTGTAGACAACATGTTATGTGTCGAGTGTAGACAACAGGTTATGTGTCGAGTGTAGACAACATGATATGTGTCGAGTGTAGACAACAGGTTATGTGTCGAGTGTAGACAACATGTTATGTGTCGAGTGTAGACAACAGGTTAT